CGTGTGTTCATAACCTGTAGCACAGGAGGCAAGGGGAATGGGGTCACCCCCTTGGCTGAAATCCCAAAGAAGGGGTCTGTGGTGAGCTCTGGGCCAGGATTTTAGGTGGGAAATCTCTAAGTACCTTTATCGGCTCATGTAACAACAAACAAGATCCAACAGGTGTCCCACGGCTAGTGGTCAAGGGTGTGTTTTCCCCAACATTCAGTTACTTCCATATTAGTGACCTGATTTTCATCACGACTTCATATACTTAGAGTATAATATTGATAAAAACTTATTTTAAGAGGATTTTTACAAGGATCACAACTTTGCATTTACCAAATTGAGTCACTCAGGGGTCTTGTAACCACACGAAGAAGGAAAGTTTGCACTGCCCCAGAGGAGGGCATCCAACCCACTTCAGGGCAGGTGAATGAGAAACAATATCTCCCAAACCCAAGTCAATGATATATGAAATAATTATGATAGTGATATATGAAAGAATTTCCGCCATCCCTGTCAGGAGGGTAGATTCAGCACGCCTGCGCCTGCATAGAGGATTTCAGGATTCCTACGGCCCAGATTCTACCTCTCCTCCTTCCTTCCATTTCTAATGATGCTGTGGCAAATTAGGTTGTCACAGGGGAGAAAAGACTGGCCTCTTTATTTTGTAGTTTGCTGGGCCAAGAAGGAATGCATGGCCCTTCTTTTATAGGTGAATCTAATTCACTCTTATATAAGTAACTTCCTTTGTAAAGTAGACACTCTGGGAAACAGGAAGGTCCAGGGAATACAAGTAACATTTGGGACCTGTCCTCTGAGCTGATTACTTCTGCACACTGTGGAGCCCACAGGGCCTGTGGAAGGACTGGTCCCAAGGACATGCCCGCATGTCCTAAGGGTGGCGGGCAGCAGAGGGTAAGCAGAAGACAAACCTGCTCTCCTTCAGCCCTTGCCCCTTGCCCACGTATGCTTTCCAGAACATTCCAGGCAGCCTCCAGCATTTGCATCAGGCATTCTCCTACCTGGAATGCTCTTCCTTCAGGTGTCTTAGGAGCTAACCCTTCACTTTCTTCAAGTCTTTCTGATCTCAAAGAGGACTTAAACCACTACCCTCACCTTCTTGGTGCTCCTAATTGCCTATACTATTCCTTTTCCATCACGTTTAACGCATCATTTACACCATCTTCCTGTTTGCTGATTACTTATTTCCATCCTCCCCTCTAGAATGTGGACTTCCTAAGGTCATAGGCCTTTGTGATGGTTCACGGACACACCTCGAGAGTCTAGAATACCCTGATACACTGCGGGCCTTCAGTTGTCAATTAAATAAATAGAAAGAGTTCCTTTTCTATCAAGCCAGGAAACTCTCAGAATTTTCCACTGTCACCTGTAATCCCCGGTAAAGACAAGGCTAGGCAGGGCCTCCCTGCCGAGCGCATACTCCAGGAGGGAGGTTCCGGGACATGTCAGTACCTGACCACTCCTTGGCTTGTCATCCTAGGTGACTTGCCATCGCAGATGACTTGCATTTAGCTTGAGAAATAACTGACCCTGCTCAACCTTGAGATGTCCACCTCTCAGCACAGGGGCTACTGCAGTCCCCCCAGGGCTGAGCCCGAATTCTGAGAGTCAGTCTATTTTGGAGTAACCAGATAGTGTTTGGAAGAGGAAAGCAGATGAACGTTTGCCGTTTCTGGGCTTTTTCTCATGTGGGAGGGAGGAGATATAGATATTACACGATACGTGTGTGGAAAAGTGCTGGGAATGAAGTCTACCAAAGTACACTGTGTCTACGTGAGAGTATACCACGATACAGCACATATCAATTGTGTATAATGCAAATCCAGTGTGTTTCCCAAAGCTAGAAGAGCTATATATCAGATTGTATAAAATATGAACAAATATACACATATCTGATTTTATAGATATAATGTATACGATATATATGATTTCACATATGATTATAATGCACTCATTAAAATAACAATGACAGAGAGAACGTCAAATAATAATGAGTAGAGCAAGCCATTCGGGACAAGGAAGGTACCAAGAGTGAAACGGATCAAATTTTGTGGTGTGCATGTAGGAATACGGCATAATGAATCCCACACCTACGTATAGCCATAATGCACCAGTAAAACGATAAAATAAATTACAGGCTATGATTTTGCTGTGTTTTTGAAATCCTCATGGAATAAAAAGTTAGATGACATTAAAATGAAAAAGAATGAGAACAAGTCAGTCTCCATTTGAGAAAGAAATCCCACTTACAGATTGCACAGAGGAGTGAACTAAACATGGATATTGTTGGGGAGAAGCTCTTCCCTCATGGGCAGAGGCTGCTTCGTTAAAATCAACGTCACAGTAGAAAAGGAAAAGAAAGAATTCTTGTGATCACAATTTCAAAAATCTGGACTTCCTTCCTTAATTTATCTTTCCTTTCATGCGCTAAGGTTTTTTGCTACATAAGAAAATATGCATTTTATCTGGGTACAGGAAGGGAGTGTCCTTAGAATAAAACACAAATTCTGGTAAGAAAATGGGAAGGGAGGGGAAACAACCCCCTTGTCATAACGGTGGTTTTAGGTGTGAGAAAACCATCCTCCTGCGTTGGACAAGCGTTGCCCTCGATTATCAGAGGAGCGTTTCCTTCTCTCCCTGAAGGAGAGAGCTTATTAACACAGCCACCTCTTTCTCCCAGACATTGCTGAGTACCAGGAGAGATGCTCTGCTATCAGTAGCCTTGCCTGCCACCTCCTGGAACCTGGCCTGTGTATCCATCCGGTGGCAGGTCCTTCCCACTGGCTGGACACATACTCTCCCAGTGCTCAGCACCCTTCACAGTTCCCACCACCACCCTGTTGCTGACTCCCCCATATCACCCTCCACAGTGACTAATTGTCTGCCCAGGTGTTTGCCTCCGAAGACGCTTCTGTCCGATCAACAGCAGCAGCAGTGTGTTTTCCAAATCTAGAGGGGCCTTAGAAGCTGGTAGGGCCAAAGCCCCGCAGATGGAGGCAAAGGGACCCCCCATTCCGAGGCACTCCATCAAATGCTCTTGAAAGCTGCCAGAGTGACAGGATGTCCTATCTTCTCCAGGCTTCAGACCTGATTTCCCTGCGATGAAACTTCACAAAGAAGGCTTCTGTCTCGTACTCACTGCCATGCAACATTCCAAGAGTGAGCTGAGAAAAGACCACACCATCCGCCATGCCAACCTTTTTTTAGCATCTCAGAAGAAGAAATTTTGATCACTTCCAAATTTTACAGTGATTCATTTGAATTTTTTATGCTCTGGGCATTGATTTCTGCCCTCAAGATAATATTGTTGATATGTAATTTTCTTGTTTCATAATTGTCTTAACCTGGCTTCTTTATTAACATGTGCCTGACATTTAACTTCCTGAGCAGGGAGTCCATAGGGGCTGGGACCTCAGGGAAGAGAAATCATTACAAAGGGAAAATGAGAAGGAAGGAAGGACCGTTCAAGAGGACATTCCTTTTGCTCATCACCAAGAACAACGGGTGGCTGAGTCCATGGGATTTTTTAAGGATCCTTAGGAAATGGTCTTGAAACTGTTTGCCCTGGAATGAAGGTAGGCATTTATCCATTGATGCCTCTCACTCCCCCCAGTACCATCATTTGTCAAGTCTGGGCCCACGTGCAGTGACTCTCTCACACTTCTGGGTTGGACACACAAGAGCATGTGTGTTTCACGGTGCCCTGCACCTGCAGTATCATAGAAGCCCTGGATCAGGAAGGGAGAGGCACTCAGCATGGTCCTGCAGAGCAACTCGCGGTCTTTGTACAAAGCCCATCCAAGCCCACGTGGGAAGGACCACATGACAGTGTGTGGATAAAAGATAGGGCACAGAGGATCTGAGGATGTCCAAGAAGTATCAAGGACAGTCATCCAGCAAGTCCAAGAAACATTTAGGTGAGCAAGACAAGGAGGCAGGGGCCATGTTGCCGCAGTCTGGCTGGGCACAAAATCACGAGCCACCCCAGCAGGAACAAACTTTATTTCTGAACTCCACCAGCACACTCCACACATGCTCCCGG